GAAGCAAGTTCTTCTGGTCGTGAGAAGCTTCTTGCACGACACGCAGTAGACCTACAAAGGACCCTTATGCAAAAACGCACTGTTTCAGAGACTGAGCCAAATGAGCCGGCGCTGGAGCCATTATTACTCTCACCTATTTGTTCCATCTTCATAATCGTCTTGCTGTAACTGCAAAAGTGATTTTATTAACAGTTTTGTGTTTAATGTGTATTCAGTATTGTACAAGGTCAAACACAGTAGTATGGGGTTCCTAATAGTCCTTTAGGTGAGTGTGTATGTGTGTGTATATATATATATATATATATATATATATGAAGAGTTCAGATGCAAAAGCCTCTAAATGCCATTTTAAATTTTCTTCTTTAATGATGATTTTTATCAAACTTGTATATTTAAGTTCAGTGATTTCACTTAAATGGCAATGATAATTACCTATTAATTGTTATTCAAGTGAAATTACTGAACTTAAATATACAAGTTTGATAAAAATCATCATTAAAGAAGAAAATTTCAAATGGCATTTAGAGGCTTTTGCATCTGAACTCTTCATATATATATATACTGTGTGTGTGTGTGTGTGTATGTATATATATATATATATATATATATATATATATACTGTGTATATAGATATATATGTAGTATTTATTATTTTTAAGTGCTGTATACAGGCAATAAGAACTGAAAAATGTATTAAGAGTGAAAGTATAAATTTTGATTTCATATTGACCTGTAGTATTGATGATGGTATCAGATGGTAATACCTTGGTACTTTGGTACTAAATAATTACCATATTCCACCTATCATTTTTACGTTACTCCAAGTTTTTGCATGGTTGTACATTTTTTACATAGTTGTAAATGACTGATGCTAGGTGAACAGAAAAAAGATTTGTAGCTTTGAATTGAAGAATTATTACTAAATATATTTTTTAATAAATAATGATATTTTATCGAGAGTGATTAGGAAAATGAGTTTACGTCACAAATGCTGTGAATAGAGCTTAACCTGCAAATTTTTGCCTTTAATGACTCGATTAATATGAAAAACAACTTTGACTGAACTAGAAAGCGGGTCAGGAGAAGGTGTGAATGGCTCCTTGTATGCAGTCAGTGTGCGAGTCTTAGAGAAGGCAGTACGCAGTTTTGTAAACCCTGAGTCTGGCCTTGTTAAAGCACACATGGATGAATGAGCACTGCGTGACATGTCCTGAGTCTTATTTTCATCGCTGGGCTCGTATCCCAGAATTCCTTGGGGTTGCTAGACCTGCAGCTGTGTCTCTTTGGCTTTGCAGGTCTATGAGGTAATCGGCTGCATGTTGAAGGCTCAGAGTTGGGGAACGCAGCCAGGTGTGTGTGTGTGTGTGTGTGTAATGCGTATGTACCTGAAGAGCACCTGTGGAAGGGGTAGTAAGGAACGCTTGAATAATGCAACACACACAGATGTGAATACTGTGTCTCTATTGGCAGGTGTGATCGATGTTGCTTTAACTTTTCTTTACCAAAGCTTCATAGATGCAAGTCTGTAGACAAAATGAAATATGTTTGGCATATATTGTTAGTGTGTGACTGCTGTGCACAGCAACAGTGATTAAATTCAGAACACATTGGAAATAATCACAAACCACACCGATGAGAACTGACAAAGAACAATTGAAACACAGGTGTATGAAAAGCAAATAAACTAGACACAGGTGAAACTAATGTATGGATATAGAAACAAGGAACTGAAACTAAACAGAACTGGGAAAGAGGAACTAAAGGAAACATGATAGAAAATTTTAAATACAATTTAACACAACAGAACATAACCCTGATATAATATAATACAATATATTTTCATAATGGTTTAATTTATATTTAATATTGTCTTTTTGGGCTATAACATTACATTATGTTACATCATTACATTTATTTGTACGTATGTAATATATATTAGGTTATAGTATGTTCAATTTTACATTACATTATACTTCATTATATTATTGCATAAATTATTATCTATAGGTTATATTAATATAAAGATTTAAAAAATATTATATTATATTATAATATTAATAAACAGATGATTAATTGACATTAAGTTTGAGATTTTAACTTTATTATATTATATTGTATTATATTATATTATTATCAAGACAAATTTAATTGCATTGTTCTTTTCACAAAATACGGTTTCAAAGCAGCTAAATCATGCCGTTAATGTGTATAATATCTAATATTATTATTTTATTTTATATAATAATGTAAATAATTGAATATTATTAAGAAATATTCAATTTATACATAATAAAATCATATTAATTAAATATTAATTAATACAAAATATTAATTCGTTAATATATAGCATTACAATTCTGTTGAATCTGTACAATTTAATATATGTCTATGTACATTTCACCTAAGTTCATATTAGAGTGTTTTTTTAGTGTGTTTTAAGAACTTTTAAAAATGCGCTCGCACACAAACATGCACACTTACTCAATGTACATATTGTGGAGAAATTGTGAGTAATTGCTTCCTTAATTCTCACACTTGCTTTACATATCAGTCGGGTGTGATGGCACATTTTTCCAGACGTCTGACACCCTGAAAATAAAGCTCGCAGCCTCTGAGCGCAATTCTGAAGGTTACTGTGTTAAATTTAGCCGCGGAAACATTGATGATCAGCGGGAGAACAGGGACATGTGATGAATGAGTGTGTGGCTGTTGTTGATGGTGACAACGGCTTCTCTGTCGACTGTGGCAGAGGTGAGGCCGCGTGGAAAGTGTTTTATTTTGGAGGTGGAGGAGAGAGCGAGGGTCTTTCTCGCGCTTGCACTTTTACTGTGAATGTTTTCTAGCTTGTTAACGTGGGCTCATAAATATTAGAAGGCTTCAGGTCCCTGTGTTCTCATGGTCAATGCGACATGATGATGTGTAAACAAACCGGTTCATGTTTTCTGTGAATCCACATGTGGGTGGAAGTTATATTTTATTGATAAATAAAGTTTTTCTAATTTCCTCCATTTGTACTTTTGGGTGTCCGTCAGAGGTGGTATATGTACGTTATTCCTCACTTCTTAAGATACATTTCTGAATAAAATTCAGCAGTAGCTGCAAGTTTGGCTTATTAAATTTCCCTGACCTTTGACCTTTGAGGCTTTCTATAAATGTCTTATCGGAGCTGTGAGCCGTTCTTCTGTGTGCTGAATGAAATGACGGGGAGGAGAGGGAAATGTGCAGCATGCACAGCTGTGAATGATGTCTTGTGATTCTTGCTTGTCGAGGTTACAGCACCTCAAAGGACTCTTGCTGTAGAAACTGCTGCCGTTTGAGACTTTTGGGCCTGCTGAGGCATCAAATATGTATTGTGTATGCATAATGTTTCTGTGCCTGTAGAATGACCTCATCGTTGATAGCACACACACACACACACTACACTTGCTCCGTCATCTCAGAAATACCTTAATAAATTCGCTGTGATTCATGTCTGTTATTAGATGGTTGACGGGCTTTGTCGTCTGTCATGAAGGAGAATGATGTTAGTTCATGTAAAGCATTACATCACTGTGATCAGTGAATACTGGGCTCAAGTTTCGGTCGACACTCGGTTCTCACATTTCTCATCTCTACTACTTCAATTCGGATCTAATCAAATGTTAAATCTATCAAACATGGATCTCATTTTATACGTTTTTGCAGAATGTTATTATGAACATTTTCCCTGCTGCATCACTTTCAACACTTGAGCACCAAACTTTTTAATACATATTTTAACACTGAAACAGGGGGTAAAAAAACAAACTATGCATTTAAAAAGTTGCAAAATAAATGAAGTTTTTGACACAATTTGAATATCTTGTTGATAAACCTGTGTGTACCTGTGCATTTCTTAAAGGGATAGTTCACTTTGAAATTATTTTTTGGTCTGTTTTAGCTTACCTCAAGGGCATCAAAGATGTAGGTGTCTTTGTTTATGCATTAGTTTCAATTTTGATATTTTTAGGTCAAACCGTTGTTGTTTATCAGTCATATAATGGAGGTCTATGGTCACCACCTCAAAGAGCATGCACAGAGAAGTCCAAATTAAATGACTCGTAAATGTAAGTACACATTGATGGCTTAAGACACGAAACGAGCGGTTTGTGTGAGAAAACGAACAGTATTTATATCGTTTTTACCTCTTGTAACCACAGCCACGTCCAAGTGATCTTTCGCGCGGTTGTGAAAAATTCAACGTTGTCTGTTGATATATCGAAATCGTCTTCCATTGCAATTTCCTGTATATCTAAATATGTTTAGATCTTCACAGTGAAAGGTATTGCTTCTGAAATCTCTGTGTAAACAATGAGTGACGTACACGCGCGAGAGATCACTTCCGGCGCTTGCGCAGACCGAAGCGCCTGTGCCTTCAGATCACTTGGACGTGACTGTGGTTACAAGAGGTAAAAATGATATAATACTGTTAGTTTTCTCACACAAACCATTCGTTTCGTGTCTTAGGTCATCAATGTGTACTTACATTTGCGAGTCATTAAATCATGTTCAATTTGGACTTCTCTCTGCATGCTCTTTGAGGTGGTAACCATAGACCTCCATTATATGACTGACAGAAGAACGGTTTGACCTAAAAATATCAAAATTGAAAGTGCTGTGGAAACAAAGACACCTACATCTTGGTTACCCTTGAGGTAAGATAAAACATAACAAAAATTTATTTCAAAGTGAACTATCCCTTTAGTCTAAATAGGGTGCATTCAACAGCTCTCTTTAGAGATGTTAGTGACTGTAAAAATTGTATTTTTTTTTCTTTTCACTTTCCATTAGCTATGACCACTGCTGTGTTTGAACAAAAACAGCAATATAAAATTGCAGGGGTTTTTAAGAGGGTCAGTGGGATATTGGGTCACACTTGCATAATGTGCCTAAAGTCAGACAACATTACTGTGGTTTATAGGGCACAAGAGTTTATGGGAGATTTGTGCACTAATTGTTTTTTCTCTTGCTCTTTTTTCTAGGCCTGTGTTTGAGCCTGAGTCTTCCTCACCTGCCAGCCATGGACTAGACAAGAGGAGCGTATGACCGCAGACATAACCATGGTGGTGAGGTGGCTGCTCAACTCCCATTGAGAACACAGAAAGTAAGAATGCCTTTATTGAGCTCGTCTTTTATTTAAATGGTTTCAGAGGAACATCCCAAGGCCCATGTGGAATCTGTTTCCACGGAAGCTCGACAAAAGCTCAGCAAATTTACATGGGATTTTAATACCGGTCATTGTATAATTTTGCTGACATTTTTCTGCACTGTATGTGTTGATTTACCTGGACAAATACAAGTCTTTAGTTGTGTAAATGTTCAAATAATATACATTTTATAGTTATAGTATGACACTTTTTTTGGGCTCTGGCTTTTGACATATTCATGTTTGAGTTTTATTGGATGAAGATCATTTGCCTTTAAGGAAACTTTTTCTTGTCAAATGCCTTGCATTATTTATCAGAAAGCCCAGCACATTAGCAGCAGTTTAGCTGACCCACTTACATCCTGCTCTTTGCTTTGTGAGGTACGTGTGGGGCTGTATATTTTATATATATATATATATATATATATATTCCACTTTAAAAAAAATCATTCTTTCCAAATTTAAGTCATCTAGCAAAAAATTCTGTATCATATTTCAGAAATAACAAAAAACATTTCCAGAATCATGCAACCCTAATAGTAAGTGCGATACTGTATAATTTATCATTTATTTGATTTTATTCTAAATCCATTAAAAATACATATTTCAAAAGCAAAATGCCTACAATTTTTACAACTGAATATTGAGTTATTATATTTTTATGTATATGTTTGTATTTATGTTGTACAACCAACCACACAGGTTGCGTAAAGGTCATCAGGCTTTCTGCGATCATGTCATTCTGCCATCTGTTGGAACCTGATAAGATCTAGCATCACAGATGTGATCTATCAAAAAGCACAAAAAGAAACCAGCCGCCGGTTTTGTTAATGTGCTCTGTCTCTTAGAGGGTGAATGATCTAATCTTGTGTTTAATTCTGCAGGGTTAGTCGGGCTTCTCTAATGGCTGAAGCAGAATGTTATTACAGGTTTTGTAGTCTTACTCAAAGTGCAGTGGATTTGAATCGTTTGCAAATTCCCTCTCGGCTGTTTGCTTCAGATTAGTGCCAGTGCGCAAAAATTAGGTAAAAATTTGTTTGGAAGTGTTTCTGTGGGACCTTTGCATAATATACTCTCTTGTTTTTAGAAACAGCTAGCTATTAGCATATTAGCATGCTAAATACAGCACTGCTGCTAATAATTTAGTTGGAAGTCAAGCTTTTTCAGTTGCACTCTTTAGTGGGAAGTTATGCCTATACTATGGCAAGCCGCTTTAGCTTAAATTGAATCCAGCCTTACTCGTCGTAACAGGCCTATGTCATGAAAAAATTAAAGACCGGAAGTACGTCTTTTAGTAGGGGTGCGGCTCTTCCGGTTAGCTTTTTGCAATGGTGGAGTCCGATAGATACCTGCCTAAAGTCACATATGACGATATGGTTCGGATGGTAAATGAAAACACAAGTGGTATAGCTGTCTACGTCCTGATGCAAAGCCACCTGGTACACTATAACAGCCGCGGGTAGCTCTAGCTCTAGCTACAATTTAAGCTAATACGGCTTGCCATAGTTTTCTCCACTACGGGCAGCTGCACATTCCACTAATTTTTGTGTCATGCTCCGACTCCGTAGGGTGCGGAAGCTGCTGGCTATCGGTTCGGTCGTCTTACACATGGCACACGCACAAGGATAAACAGTCCTTTGTTATTGTAGCTAACCTGTAGGTTGTCCCTCCCGCCAGCATAGTTGGTTTGGACTGATCTCACCAGCATCAAACAATGGCGCATTTCATAAGCCAATGACAAAAATGGCCTTGAGCAGAATGTCACAGCCAATATAGCCCAGCATAAAAATCCCACACGGCATAACGTCATCACAGTGTTGAAACATCACACCAGTCTGTCCAGTGGTATGACTCACTCACATGGCCATGTGACACTGCGAACACACCAAAACACCCACCACAACTTAGGTCCAGATTTACTAAACAGGGGAGTGCAATTCCAAAAAAGTGCCGATGGGAGTGTAAAGTTCTATGACTAACGACAAATTAAAGAACACAGACGCAACCGGATCATTTCCATAATGACCAACGCAATCTACAAAAGCAGCACAAATTAGCAATTGGTTTAAGACGTGTTTTTTTGGGGGGTGGTAAATAATAGCGCAAATACCAGTAAATTGACAAGCCTGGGGCGGCAGTGGCTTAGTGGTTCATGTGGGTTGTCTACGAACCGAAAGGTTGGTGGTTCAATCCTCGGTTCCACCTGACCAAGTGTCGAAGTGTCCATGAGCAAGACACCTTACCCCAGCTGCTCCCGACGAGCTGGATGGCGCCTTGCATGGCTGACACCGCCGTCGGTGTGTGAATGGGTGAATGTGAGGCAAATGTAAAGCGCTTTGGTGGCCATTAGGTCTATGAAGGTGCTATATAAATGCAGTCCATTTACCATTTACCATTTTACCTATAAATTTTGCGTCTTAAAGGGGAACTCCTACAAATGCATATGCAATAAAGTCAGCGATAAAAGCACTTATTTTTCACTCTGTGTCTTTTGTAAATCCTGACAGTAGTTTTTTTAATGGCAAAAGAGGGTTTGTGTTGGCGCAAGCTGTTACTAAATCTCGCCTATTAAGTCTTAAGGTCTCACACACCAAGAACGATAACTATAGATAACCATGTCTTTAACAATAACTTGTGTCCACACTCCACACCAATGCATTATATTAATCTGTTTATTATAAGTACTTGGTTGTCTGTCACTTTAAATGCTCAAGCACTTTAAAGTCGGGTGGATTCTGATTGGCTATCAATGTTTTTATCAGTTTTCAGCAGGAAAAAAAATCGAATCATAACGTTCCTCTGTGTCGTTATAGTTGTGGTGTGGATTCTGCTATTCTTTTACATTTAGAAGGATATTTGAAACTATATCATTATCGTTATTGATATTCTTTAGCAACACTGTGACCTTAGTGTATATCTCACTTTTACTTTTCTCTAATTAAGCCACAATATGCCCAACAGCTGCATCCCACATTGTCTTTGGGAGTCTTGGAGTTTGTTCGAATTTCTAGCAGTACGGTGTGTTAATCGTACCCAGGTGTCTCTCCGTCAGCTGTTGTGAGATCAGCGTCTCATTCCTCAGGCCGTATTCATCTCTGATTAATCGGAATGTGATCAACGGCAAATTTCTAACTTGATGTACTGGCAATGATTCATTTTGTGCTCAGCCCATGTTGTTTTGTTGATGTTTTGTCTTTTATATGATATTTATATATATATTTTCTGTTATTTCTGTGTAGATGAGAGTGTGAAGCTGCAGGGCAGGCAGCGCAGCCACATGATCCCATGACTCTGGATATGGATGCGGTCCTGTCAGACTTTGTTCGGTCCACAGGGGCAGAACCGGGTCTGGCACGAGACCTGCTAGAAGGTAAGAGACCTGATCTGTTCTTTTTTTCTTTTTCTTTTTAAACGATGCTTCAGTTTTGGATGATAATTTTGCTCAGGTGTCTTGTTTTTAATATTTTATTGATTGTTAGTTGTAGATGCCTAATGTAACATTAATGGTAAAAATATTTAGGTCAGACCTTATGAACTTGATCCACTAATGTTTGACAACTAATCCACATATTTTGGTCTTTATTTTAAATCTATTGTTCCTCCAAGCCTGTTGAGTAACATACGGTACTTTCTAAAGCATGCTGTGGGTTTTGTGGGGGGTAATGAGAATGAATGGGGGAAAGTCACATGAGAAGTGTCAGTGGCTCCATCATGGCATGACTGGCCATTCAAATAAATAAATCCCTCGTATGTTTTTTTATGTGGGTTCTGCATTCACAAATCCGTCATTATTGATGTAAAAATACAAAAACTGTATTTATAGTGTAATTAATAATGTTTATTTTAACCTGAAGATATGTCAACAGTAAGTTTAACTGGAACATGAACTTATATTGGATTAGAAAAGATAAAAAGCAGTGATGACTCTGCCTCATCTTTTCAGAAATTCCCTACGTGCCACTGAAATGTATATGTTGCTGAGAATGTAATTCTCAATGTGTCAAATGTGCTTTTGATTTACAGTCCTCATGCCGAGATAGCTTTAATTTCTGTAATGGCTATATTACCTGCGAGAAATGTGTAATAGTATGTCAGCTACATTATGTGCATTGATTTCTTGCAGCTCAACACTTTTTAAAGAAAGTATGCATCTTTTAAGATTTCTACCTCATCTAATATCTGAAATAAGGCATAATGTGGTAGATTATTTTTGAATATATTTGGCGAATATATTTTATTTATTTTATATATAATATTTTTAATATAATATTATTTTTTTAAATATTTTTGAATGTATTTTATTTTATATAAATAATAAAAATATTATTTATTTTTGTTTTTGAATATATATATATATATATATATATATATATATATATATATACATATACATATATATATACGTTTGGGGTACGTTTGGTCTCAAGTGTGCTTGTGTGGAGTTTATGGTTCAGTCAAGCCCAAAATGCACCTTCAAATCTACTGTGCTTGAGATTTAATTCCAGCTAAGTTGTTTTCTCTAGTGTAATGTGTTGATGTGCAACTTCTATTTTCATGATGTCTATTGTAATAACCTTTGTCTTGGCCTGAGCTCAGTATGCTTAGACCTGTGTTTCAACTGCCTGGTTGCTTTTGGCTTGTTGGTGACGCTTTTTCGACTCCCTCCAGACTCACTTGAAGGTCCCAAGACTCCTGCTTTTCTGCTGTGATAAGGGTTTTGTGCTGGTCTACGTTTTGCTCTGATTGGCAGCACGGTGGGCGGCAGGGCAGATTTAGGGCCCAATGTGATGGCTTTACGACCAGGCTCCCCCCAGGAGACCTTTGTGCCCATTGAGTGGAACTCATTGAGGATTTGAGGGCGGCAGACACTGGCACACAGTCTGTCCTGAAGAGACGGGCCAAAGAGAGAGAGAGAGAGATCCACAAGCCAAAAGGCAAGGCCAAGGGGAGAGAAATATTCTTTAGAAAAGATGAAGAAGAAGAATAGAACTAGCAAAAGAAAATAAGTACAGCCTTTTGAGAAACGGTGTTCAAAGAAGAACAAGAGAACATGAAGGTGGACAGAAAGAGCTATATGTTCCAGTCCTACAGCATTTTAGACAGAATTGTTAGAAAGTCATTGTCAGTTTTTTACGATGGCAGACTTGACTTGGGATACTGCTTTAGAAGGTACCACCCTATGTAGATAGCAGACAGTGAGGCAGCTCACTGGATTTTGTAAAGCCAAAGAAAAGGGGGTACAGCAACAAGAAAGTAGTACAGACTCCAGTATGACCTTCAGTTTTTAAGGCACTCAGATTATAATGGCTAAGATGTGTACCTAAACACACACCTGCTTCAAAGAGAGCCTCACTCAGCATCAGCTAATGACTGAATAAGAGAACATACCTAAACACACACCTGCTTCAAAGAGGGCCTCACTCAGCATCAGCTATAGTGGCTGAAAAAGAGTACATATGGTCTTGCAATGGAAAGCACATGGAAAATTAGTTTTGACAGGGTCATTAGAGCATACATGTAACTCTAATTTGTAAATGATTCTAATATTTCAGATGAATGAAATCAGTATTATTTTTTTTTTTAATTTGTTTAAGCATCATTATTCATTTAATTTAGTCTCATGTTATCATTAAATTGCATATTTCTTTATCTATTATTTGTTATTATTTGTAAATGATAAAAACACTATTTCAGATTCATTTAAGCAGTTTTATTTATATCTCAAATGTTATGTACTGTACTATACTATAATTTATGCATGTAACACATTTTATGCATTATACTCATAAATTATTAGAGTTTATTAAATATTGTAATTTATGATATAATGTATTGCAATAATTTATTTACTTATTATTATTATTATTATTAGATTTTCGGATTATGGCGAATAAGCATTATTTATTTGATTTAGTCTTGTATATTATCATTTAAATGTATAATACTTTAGGTTGTTAGGTTTTAGTATCTTTGTGCGGACTCTCCATAGACATAATGCTTTTTTATACTGTACAAACTCTATTTTCTATCCCCTATCTTTAAACTTACAAATCACAGAAAACATTCTGCATTTTCAAAAAACATAACTTAGTATGATTTACTTGCTGTTTGATCTAAAAGAAATGTCCCCACAAGGACAAGGATTGTGAATAATGCCATCTTTGTGGGGTAACGTACACGTCCCCATGACGTAGGGTATACCTAAACCAGACACACACAATGTAACCACAACTTCATTTCCGTAGATTAAGCAGGTTCCTGAGTGTTTTGTCTGATCCAGCTTTTATTCTCCATAAATCATGTCATAGAGTGAATGCACTGAACCAGTTATTTTAGATGTTGCATAAGCAATCCTACTATCTCTGAGCTAATGTACATTTAAGGCCCTCTCTGAGAACTTAGTGTTGATAGATTGCTGTTAGATGCTTATAGCAAGCATGTTCTTCAGAAAATACATCTAGGGTCAGCACCTTCGTGCGCCAGTCTATCATAGCAATCGCCAAAAAAAAAAAAAAAAACACAAGTCTGTTCCAAGATCAGTACTAACTGTTCTACAGTGAGGCATTCCTGTAAAAACAGTGAGGCTGAGGCTTGTTATTCAGAATTAGCAATTTGTTAATGCTCTTTTAATGGCCCCACCACTGACATTTCACTGAAACCGAAAACAATCCTGCCTCTAACAAGCCGTGGTTGTGAATGAAAAGGTTATGAAGTGCCTTCAGTCCTAGATCCCAAATAAATGGCTCCGCTGCAGTCAAGGAAAACATACTTTGTATACAAAAACGCTATAAAAAGAATAACACCTCTATTCACATGTTTATGGCTTATTAGGTCTAAAAACAAAATGGTGATTTTCTCCCAATGTGCAGTTATGTAATAAATTTGATCATAGAAAGCTTTTAAATGCGAGGCGGTTCCCAGAAAGCGAACAGCAGGAATGTTCTCGTCATCCCGCACATGCGCTTGAACAGGTCAAACGTCGGGTACCTTTCACTCCATGCATACGTGCAGGAAGAAGTGGAACTAATGAACGGGAGCTTGTCTACAGCATCCCAGCCTCTCAAGTGCTCATGGACCATGGTATTTATGTAACATGCACTCAATAACCTCTGCATATGACTGCAATGGCCTGTTTGTGCCGCCATGTTGCTATTATAACTAATTTTATTAGTGGCCTCTGTAATTGTTCATATATCTTCTGAAAAATTTGGAAACACCCACAATACACCACTAATGGTCTCTGTTGCTAATGCCGCTTGATACCAGTGGAACTATTTTGCAGAATTACGTCTTTTAATAAAAAAAAGTGAAATTAGATCAGCCAATCCTGGGTAATCTAAGCCCTGTCTGTGAAACTGGGCCTTGTGTTAAAAAAAATGCATTGATTCCTTTTTGCTTCCCTGTCACCTCTGTAAACACTTTCTCATGTCTTCCACCAAAAAGACAAGTGTTTGGATTTACAGCTGACGTTTTGAACATCTGTTTGGTTGAACTTGTTCAATCCATCTGGATAAAGTAGCATGTTCCTGTTACTTTAGTCCGATTAAACATAATATTTTATTTGATAGAAACAAAAACTACGTTAAAAGCGGGTCACCTTGATTTTGACAAGTAGGACATGTTCCTGGATCCTGTAGAGGTGCCTAACCTTGGTTGTAAGCCTAAACTTGGCAAAATGGTCCCTCAAATCTGATTGGTTGATTGAAATGTTGTTCCAGGATCAGGAACATGTTGTACTTGCATGGTGAAATCACGTTCACCGTTAAAGGAGACAAGAATGCAGTGCCTGTTTAAATTCAAGCAATTGAGACGGACACTGCATTTCCATTAATATCCTTGGGACAAATCCATTTACAACATATTGGACCTCATTTATAGACCTAAGCAGAGGTTTCTGTAAAAACTATAAATTCATAGCAAGAATTGTTTTACACACAGTTTAAACACAGTTTGAACTAACGTTCAGGAGTAATAGCATAAAAGCAGGGATTTTAGCTATATTTTTTAGTACCATGACTAGCCTAGCTGTTTTCAAATTAAAGTAGCGTTTACAGTAACAACAAGATGGGGTTTTTTTGTGCAGTTTTGTGTTTTTTATGCTAAAAAGAAGTGTATTTTCTGTGCCCAGGTGAGCTGAGGAAATAATCAAACTGGAAAAACAGCTGGGCTAGTCATGCCACTGAAAAATGTATAGCTGGCATAACTGCTTTAATGCTAGTTACTCCTGATCAGCAGTTTATAGGTCAGGTATTTTTTCTTTTTCAGATCTCTCAAGACACACTCTAGAGATGCACTCTTATAACATGTCTCTCTTTCCTAAGTAGCATTGGGAAGTCTTGCATTGTTTTGATGTGCTCTCACCCTTTCTGA